TTGTAAACTTTAATTGGAATCCTCGTTAGTACAGCGGTGAGTATCCCCGCCTGTCATGCAGGAGACCTGGGTTCGATTCCCTGACGGGAAGCCACTGTTTGAGGCTAAATCATTTATCACACTGAATATGATGTATGTGGGATGGAATACCTAGTTGGTCAGTTTTGGGTCCGCTTACCCCCCCCTCCATAGGTGCAGACACAGCACCCATGGTGTGACAGCGGCCTTGAGCTTATCATTGTAGCAGCACATACTGGAAAAACATGCTGCTACTTTTCAGCAAGTTCAGCTGCTTAGAAGAGACTGAGCTGAAAAGTAAAATCATTAAATAGACAATTAGTTCTATTTAGCTCAAATCAGGACAGTCATGCAAGAAAAAACATAGAGTGTAGTGTTGTGAACCAGTTGTGATATCTTTAATAAATAAAGCTGGGAATTTTTAAGTTGCTTCTTAAAATAAATAAATAAAATAATAAAATTGCTAATAAAAGCAATTGTTCTGGTCATAGAAGTTGTTCGCTCTGATCTGTATATTGCCTCCTTGTGGCAATTTTCTGTTGTCTAGCAGTATCATCCATTGCATGCCTCTATTACATGTGCTTTTCTGAAACCAGTTTTAACTGCTTGTCTGCACAATATATTTTTTTTTCTTCTCTTTCCTTTTCTTTCTTTCTAAGATGTATGTATGTACATACCCATTTACATATGTCTACAATGCATACATAAAGCCCAATTAAAAATACACTAATTTCTGACTCCTGAGGAAGCTATGATGTAAATGGATCTTAAGTAAGAAAGCAGTCTTGAAACCTGTCATGGAATTTACCAGCCAAGACACAATTATTACTCATCATCTTTGTCACAGGGATGATGATAATGAGGATACACAATCTAGTAGAAGAGGGAATGCTGAGAATGTCTGAGCTGATTGTAATTTGTTTTTTTTAATGAAATAAGAACATATTAAAGTAGATCTAAATAATTATGGAATAATTTATATAACTGATATGAATAATGTTGATAAAGCTTTTGGCTTCTGTAAAAACTAAGAAAATCCAAGTCTGTAGAAATCATATGTCTTATGTTTAGTATGCTGATGTAGACAACAGATGCTTTCCAAATACAGAATGCCAAGTGCACAAAGAGCAATTTACTGAAGTTCATCATAAGGTCACACATTCAGTGGAACCATCAATACGGACAACCTCTCAGTAACCTCCACATACTTCTAGACAAGGTCTGGGCTCCTTCGTGTCTTGATTAGAGTATGCAGCAGTTAATTTGTTTTAAATAAGAAATCAAACAGTCATATAAACTGTTATATGAGGGTTATAAAATCATTCTCAAGGTACATGGATGAGGTCTGGTTTTGTGTTCCTACTCAACATCTTGCTGCAGTAAAATGAAAGAAGAGCAGAATGACTGGATAATATAATTCCAAACTCTGATTTCACTCTTTCATGAAAAAATAATGAAATAAAGTGTTGAGTGCTTTTAATAAAATTATAGACTTTCTTAAATTTAAAGGTATGAAAAGGGTTTAATATGTACAGACACCGCCCCTCTGCAGCTGATTGCACAGATTTATATTCTATCTGTTAATGATGGAATATAATTTGCTATTAGAGAGAGATTTTGTCCATCTCTGTAAAATATCAACAACTTCTTAAAACAACATTTATGGCTAAGTGTAGTTTCTGCATTTAAGCTTTTTGCAGTGTTAGATTTCAGTAGAATTACGGTATTGTCCTCGAATGAAATGGAAGTTGCTGTAGAGTTTGATGGGACCAGAATTTCTGGGTCTCATGCTGCTAACAGCTCTAGATTCCCCAAAACATGGTGAAAGAATGACAGTTTCACGAGCTTGCTCCATCAGTAAGTGTATTTGATCTTCTGCCGAGAAAAAGGAAACTTTCCCATGAGGCTGAACAGAATCTGTGTGCGTCTTGCACTGCAAAAACCATGCTGCTGCAGGAGGTCTTCAGAAGCACTGCATGATTATAATTCTTGTATAAAAATATTACAAAGTTCAGTAATAATAAACAGAGGGGGATAAGAGTTGTAAAAAAGCAGCAAAATATATCCGCACTATCATTAGTAACAGGGAGATAGCATTGGTGATAAAGAGATACTGTTTAGGTTTTTAGTGACTCTTTGAAGTTGCACAAAAGAAGATACTGAAAACAGCAGTATTCAGAGTTTGGAAAAAAGTCAGTGCTGGCTAAATGGGGAGAGTGAGAACAGAGAGAGAGAAATAATCTCAGTGAAGGATGCAGGCAGCCTGACTATGTGAGTGACATGGGAAACTGCATGGCCCCAGGTGAGGCAGACAATAGGAAATTCATCTTGAATTTGAAAATAAAGAGAAAAATTACTGAAGAGGAACACCTCTCACAAGTAGAGAGTTAACATTTTTATGCTTCTATTCACAATCTATGGAAATTCCTAGTCTTGCTGACTAGTTTTGTCTATCATCCTCAGTTTTGATAATGTTTTAATTATAATTTTCTACCTCTTTCCTCCCTTGGGCAATGAAGTTATTTAGATGATTACAAATAAGTGCTTGCTGAGTATGTGGCCTACTGCTATGTCTCTTATCATGTTGGTGGTAACCAACACGGCTTTACCAAGGGCAAATCGTGCCTCACCAATTTGGTGACCATTTATGATGGAGTCAAGTACTTACAAATAATTCACAAATTATAAAAGTCAAGGTTGATTCCTAAATGATTTTGTAGACAGAAATTGTTATTTGCCTCATGTTCTGTAATTCCTTTTCACAGGGCTATGACAGATAATGAATGGCACCTTAGTTCTGCCCTTTCAAGCAGATCATTCTGCCAATTAGCATGGAGGAGGGAATATTTGTGCCACATATAGATTCTGCTTTGAAGCAAGGCAAGGATCAACACAGGGCCAGAAATTAAATAATCTCACAATTTGGCCATAGCTGCCCAGCTAAGAGGGTCTTCACAACTGGTGAACTTTGGTCAGTGTTAGCATCTCAGCTTGAAAGAACCTTGGTATCTCACTACTAAGCACAGCAAGATCATCACGGTGACAGAGGCCTAGCAAGACTTGGAGGTACATGTTGGCAAAGGGTCTACTGAAAATCCAAAGTTAATGCTTAAAATTATCATGCAAGAAGCATGAATACTGTTGAGGAAGACCTGCCCATGTATGGCACAAGCTCCTTACCCCTTTAGTAGCTGTGTCATAACAAAGAACGTGTTACTGAGGGCTTGCAGAGACATCACAAACCAGTGTGCCCAGTAGCTGGAGCAAACTGGACTCTGATGATACACTGGGAATTTTATTCTATTGAAAGCACTCAGCTGGCTGGAAAAAAACACACAAAAAAGGTAACACCACATTCTTTTAAACTATTGGTAATGACATGAACTATATAACCCAAATAAACAGTTCTTATATAAAAGAGAAACATTACAGTATTTTATTGCTTACTGTTAATGCAGTGATATATAAGTAGTTTGAACGTGTAAGTGGAAATAAAAGCATCTGAAGGGTATTCCCAAGGTTATAATTTGAGGATTTCTCTGATTTCATAAACTGGAAGAGCTAAGTTGATGTTTAGGAATCCCAAGATCACGATTATAGCCTTGTAATGCACAACAGACAAGAATTTAAACATTAACAGACTTAAGTGAGGCATCTGTGATGATTATATCTTCTCTAAAGGGCTACAAAGATGATCAAGGGAGTGGAGCATCTCCCTTATGAGGAGCGGCTGAGGGAGCTGGGTCTCTTTAGTTTGCAGAAGAGGAGACTGAGGGGAGACCTCATTCATGTTTATAAATATTTAAAGGGTGAGTGTCACGAGGATGGAGCCAGGCTCTTCTCGGTGACAAACAATGATAGGACAAGAGGTAATGGGCACAAGCTGGAACACAGGAGGTTCCACTTAAATTTGAGAAGAAACTTCTTCTCAGTGAGGGTGACAGAGCACTGGAACAGGCTGCCCAGAGAGGTTGTGGAGTCTCCTTCTCTGCAGACATTCAAAACCCGCCTGGACGCCTTCCTGTGCAACCTCATCTAGGTGTTCCTGCTCCGGCAGGGGGATTGGACTAGATGATCTTTTGAGGTCCCTTCCAATCCCTAACATTCTGTGATTCTGTGATTCTGTGATTCTGTAAAGACTCAAGATACCAGTAAAATGGTTTTCATACCTACAAAATGAGTTGGGATTTTTAATCTATTTTTTCCATTTTCTCTTTGAAGAAGGAGATGTCTCTCTTTATTCAGTCAACAAAAAGGCATAAGTGTTACCCGGTTTAAATCTGATCATAAAAGAAGAGAAGGAAAGTTTGAATACTGTAGCTTTTAAGATGGCTTGGATAAAAATTCAGTGCTGCCACACTAGTCACATTATCCTTTGTTGACCTCAGTGTTGTAAGACATATTGGAAAATAATCATATAATTCTGACAAAGATAAACCAATGCTGAGCTTACACTGAACATACAGAAATATCATCAAAGAAGCACATACTGTTCATATATTTATCTTTTGGATCTTCAGCCTAGAATGCCAAATATGGACAGTTGCAGCTGTCAAACAAACATCCTAGCAAAACATTATTATGAGAGCAAGAATAGCCTCCTGCTTGAATCAAAAGTTTATTTTCTGTTGATTTTAACAGACTTGTATTGTTTTGTATGGATCATCTTGAAGAATGAAACTTTTAATGAATAATTTGAGAAATAAAATGGAAAAAGTAAGTTAGTATTAGAAAATAAAAGTTATGTATTTGTTCTCACTTGTTAATAAAATAAATCATGTGAATCTACATTTACCTCTGTGTCATGCGACACCTCATTAATGACACCCCAATACAGTACTCATGATGTGGCAGTGGCCTTGGTCTCCATAGGCACGAGTATAAGCAAGGGCTATATTTACATACTATACCTAGTAGTAGCTATAAACATCAAGCACTATCAGTTGTAGAAATGAACACTGTCTGGAAAAACATGACGTTAGTTTCAGAAAGTACAGTCACTTAGAAGAGCCTTAACTGAAAAGTAAAATCACTAAATAGAGAATTAGTTCTATTTAGCTCAAACCAGGACAT